ACTTGTCCTTATACACCACAGTAGAATGGGGTTGCTGAGAGGAAGAATAGGCACATATTGGAGGTGGCTAGAAGCATTATGTTTAACTCCAATGTGCCTATTCGTTTCTAGGGAGATGCTATTCTTACAGCAGCGTATCTCATTAGTCGACTTCCTTCACGGGTTCTTGACATGAAGCCTCCATTTACCCTTCTATATCCCGATAAAGAATTGCTTACTGTTCCCCTTAAAACCTTTGGTTGCACTTGCTTTGTTCAGATTCTTGGACCTCATCGTTCCAAATTTGATCCTAAGGCCTGCAAATGTATTTTTCTTGGTTATGCACAAACTCAAAAGGGTTATTACTTCTGTGAACCTACTTCTGGGGGGAGATTTGTCTCGATGGATGTTACTTTCTTTGAGGAGGTACCCTATTACCCTAGGGTTTCTCCTCAAGGGGAGAGTAGTGAGAGTGGGGTTAACTCATCAGAAGTTCCTTTACCTGTTCCATTGAGTGGGGTCAGTGAGAGTGGGGTTAACTCATCAGAAGTTCCTTTACCTGTTCCATTGAGTGATGAGGGATGTAATGGGGAGGGTTGTCAGAGGTGTCAGGATTTGAGAGTTTATCACAGGCGGTGGAGGTAGGTTGATTTCGGTCATCAGCAGTCTAGGCCAGCCCTAGTTCCTTCTGCGGATCCAGATCCAGGTACCACAGTCCCTTTATCAGATCCAGGTCCCACCGAGATACCTTCCACTGTTGCTACTTTACCTCCTTTGGATGACTTTGACCTCCCCATTGCAGTCCGTAAAGGCAAACGGCGTTGCACCACATCCACAGCTCACTGCATTTCCCAGTTCCTGTCCTATGATTGCCTGCCCCCTTTTACAGGTCCTTTCTCACATCCATTGCTGATATTCCAATTCCCAGAACAATGCAGGAAGCCTTGTCAGTTCCTGAGTGGAAAGATGCAATGAAGGTTGAAATGGATGCTCTTCTGTGGATTAGTACTTGGGAGCTAGTTGACCAGCCTAAAGGATAGAAACCGGTTGGATGTAGATGGGTATTTACTGTGAAACATAATGTTAATGGTTCCATTGAAAGGTATAAGGCCCGATTAGTTGCAAAGGGATTTACTYAGACTTATGGTATAGACTACTTGGAGACTTTTGCTCCAGTAGCAAAGATGACCACTATTAGAGTTTTGTTATCCCTTGCAGCTAGTTACTCTTGGCCCTTGTTCCAGATGGATGTTAAAAATGCCTTCCTCAATGGAGACATACAGGAAGAAGTCTACATGC